CACTTAACCATCTGTGCCACCCAGGGACTACTCTGATTCAAAAAGACTCTCCAGAGCAAATGCAAAATATTAGGGTAAGTTGCATACATTTTTTTACCTTTCCACCTGAAAAGCATCCCTTTACATGCTTCAACGTGAAATCTAGAATGTTCTTATCATCACCATGTATTAGGCCAAAGCAACGCCAGTCTGCAGAGAGCCCTCCAAACAGCACGTGGGAGAACATGGCTTTTTCACATCTCCCACAACGTGACCAACAACCAGAGACTGAATTGGTGACCTTCATCCTGACTTTACCAACATGACTCACTCATAATAGTATAATTGTGGGCATGCTTTTTATATGGATTCTTAATTAGAAAAGTCTGCTCACTTCACAACACAAAGTAAAGTTTAAAGCACAGGTTTTTCTTTCTTCTCAGAAACAAACAAGAAGAAACATGCAAAATAAGTCTTTATCTTTTTGCATAAAAACACAACAGTTTAACAGATTGATCTTTGCAGAAAATGAGAATAAAGTGACTTTTTAAAAATTCAAAGTGAAGGTTTCCCTTGCATCAATGTAAAGGTGACTTAGCTGACTCCAAGAAGATGAATAAAACTATGATCATAATGGTTCAAATACTGAGAAAGAAAGCAAAATATATTATACAAAGACCAGAAAACATAGTGGGGGAGAAAGGCCTGTAATGGCTTGGCTGCTAACGAACATTTTTATGCTCACGCCAGCACTAAGTGCTCTTATCGATGAATAAACCATATGTCCATTTTCATATACTTCCTTTCACTAAGATCCTGCTACTTAGTAACATTCCCTTTGTCCGTTTTCTTGCCTCATCTTCTTCCATCCCCAGCCTGGTTCCCCCATCCCTAACTTCATCTCCTTGGGCAACCAGTATTTGTGCCCTAGCTACCAACTTGAACATCTGCTACCTTAAAAAAAAAAAAAATCACCTCACTGCCAAATGTCCTCCAGGGCAAAAAGTTTTAAGGATTCAGCATCCTCAAAAAACAACCACAGGGAAAAGAAATGCACATCTTTTCCAGCTCAGTAACTTCTATCTATATAATGATTAAATGAATAACATGTTTAAAATTCCTCAATGCAAGCAAATCCATGTTACCAGCACCATATTGCTTCTGTTTATGCAGAGAAGATGGGAGACCCATGCATTTCATATCATTTTATTTTATTTTTGCAACTGTGTCTCCTTTTCAATATATTACCATTTAGAATAGATATTTAAAAAAAAAAACCAAACCCATTGCTGTCCAGTCGATTCTGACTCAAAGTAACCTTACAGCACAGAGAAGAACTGCCCTATAGGGTCTCCAAGGCTGTAAATCTTTACGGAAGCAGACTGACACATCTTTCTCTGGCAGAGTGGCTGGTGGACTCGAACTGTCCACCTTTCAGTTAGCAGATGAGTGCTTTAACACTGCGCCACCAGGGCTCCTTTAGAATATATACAACTCTGGAAAACAAAATGTCAACATTTCCCCTCTTTCTCTGGGATGATTTTCCTTTTCTTTTTTTTTCTGTCCCACAACACTTCCCTAACTGAAAAATGAGGAGATGTTTCCACTGAATTAAAGTCAGCCCTGTGTTAAAATAGCTTGCTGAATCCAACCAGAGCCCATTTATCCTTTTTTTCTTTTTCTTTTTTAACTTCATTTCAACATTTGGTTATCAGCTCTCCCCATTTCTGTTGCTTGTATCAGCAGACTCTTCCAACTAGAATTCCCTTCGCCATACACCTTTGCCCTCAAGCTTTTACTAGTCCATTTCCTTTATATGTTTGCACTTAATTTGATTCCATCCTTCATGCTTTTTTCATTATTCTTAGTTCATCCACACCACATAAATTATCACCTTTGTTTTCAGTTCCCCATGTGCCCCATTCACACCAATTCCAAATAAATACTCTGATTCTTATCCGTTTAATCCAAATTAATTCATATTCCCTTTCCCCATCCTTCATCCCCATTGCTACCTCCCTCGTCTGCTTCTCTTTCTCACAGCACCTACTTTTCCTTCCATTCTTGTGTCTGAGGAAGGTTTTACAGGCAAAATGTTTGCAGAGGATGTAAGGCAATGGTTTCCTGTGTTTTCTCCAGAAAGCCATGCTCTACATCACTGCCAGCCTCAATGAGCCAATGCATGCATGTCCAGTTTCAACTCAACCTCCACAACTAGTGCCCATGAGCCTCATATCCCCATCAATCAATCACTGGTGGGGGGCGGGGAGCTTTGTGCTTCTTGGTCATCTTTAACTTTGGCTTACTGGTTTATTCCTAGCTTACACAAAACTTTTTTTTTTTCCTTCACTCAGCATGACTAATCATTAGCAACAACAGCAACAATGCCAATAACTAAAACCAACCCTACTACTGTCTTTAACGAGCTCTTACTATCTACCAAGTACTTTACATGCTTTTTCTCATTTACTCTTCAAAAAACCTATGAGCAGGCAAAATTAGCTCTGTGTTACAAATGAGGAAACTGAGACTCAGGGAAGATAAGTAATTTATCCAGGTCATAAATCCAGTAAGTTGCAGGGCCTGGACTCAAACCCAAGTCCATCTGACTCCAAAGTTCTGCCCTTAACCAAGCTATAATGCTGCCTTTCTAATCATGCATGGTAGCTTCTAGAGTAAATTCCCCAAAGGGAGGAATCTTTTCACTTCAGTCTGCCATAAGGCAAGTGGTTGCAGGTGCTGGGTAATATAATGAGCTCCGCCTTGATAATCACTCCGGGTAGACAACGGTCAAAAAACAAAGCACCAAATAGTGCATCAATCATAAGTTACCCTTCTGACATCTCTGTTGGGAAAAAAAGAAGAAAATGCTCTGGATTCCCTAAAAAGAATCTCTGCATTCCCAGAACTATCCAGTCTCCATACTGAGCAGCACATAGCCTATCTTAGTGTCGATAATTCAGAAATGTGTCCATAACCATGAATTCCACACCCCCAACACAGCTCAACATGGTTGCCTCATCCAACTTTCTCTAGTTTCTTTAGGGGAACAGATGAGCCATGCACTGAAGTCTGGGAGCACTGCAATGTCTTGTCATTACTCATTGACTTTAGAAAGGAAGGAATATTAAAAAAAAAAAAAAAAAAAAAAAAAAACAACCTTCAGGACATTATCACAGAGGAAAAAGCTGAAAAGAGCAGGAAGCATTAGCCTTGGTGTATGTGGAGTAGACAACTCAAACCCATGTTGTGACAGGAAACCATGCGCAGGACTCTGCATCTGAGCCATGGAGTGAAAAGATGACGTTAGGAGATCATCCACGAACCAACCAAGAGCCACATAGGAAATGAAGTTCAGAATAGAGGAGTGAGAGGAGTGCATGCCTAAGTCCTGTGCTGGCAAGGAAGAAATGTCAGGTCTTTTCCTCCCATGGGAATAACTTTGTGGTTTGAAATAACCATATCTTTAGCTATGTATTACTCACCCCTACTTTAGGAATGTTCTTCCTTACCACACAAAGACATTTCATGGACCTCCAGAACATTAGAGCTGAAAGGGGTCTTAAGAGCCAGACTGTTTGACAGTGGTGGAAAATGAGGCCCAGTGAGGTAAAGGGACATGCTCAAGGTCACAGAGCTAGTTAGTGGTACAGCAGAACTAAACCAAACCCATTGTCATCGAGTTGATCCCGACTCACCAACTCATGGTGGCCCTATGTGTTACAGAGTAGAACTGTCTCATAGGGTTTTCTTGGCTATAATCTTTATGGAAGCAGATTGCCAGGCCTCTCTTCTGCAGCTTCACTGGGTGGTTCTGAACTGCCAAACTTTAGGTTAGTAGTTGAGCACTTAACTGTTTGCACCACCCAGGGACCTAGAACCCAGGTTTTTCTGATTTCCAGCCACACCACAGAACACCAGCAAGACATGCAGTGAGTCCAGAAATGAACTCTCACCAGACACTTCTCCTCACTCACACGCAATCACCCGTTTATTTCCAAGAATGCTCTTATTCTGCCACTTACATCTTTTGGGCTTTTCCCTACTCCCTACTCAGCTTGCAGTATGCAAGCAGTATACAAAAACAAAAACAGAAAAAAAAAAACAGGTAATACACTGTTGGGGACTCGTAAAATGACCAAAAATGGTAATTGCTACTAGGATGATAACATCAAGAGGAGACGCCTTCACTACGCTTCAACCTCAAGTCAGAGAAAAAAGACCGGTTTCAAGGAAAATGCCAATCTCCCTCTTTCCCCTATAAACCCCACTCTTCCAAATTACCCCATTGCATAAAAGATCAATATGATTCTTTGGAGTCCCCACAGAAGTCTTGAGTAAAATACACAGTCCCCATGCCTCCCCTACCCGCCCTTACCACACACATAGCAATGTAATCACTTTAGCAACTTCCCAGTAACAAGCTCATTAAAAAGCAATTCTGCCATCTCTCCATAAAGCACGCGCCAGAGAACAATGCAAAAGAGGAGATGCCAATTAATTATAGAATGATCACATCTAATGAACTCTGAAACCCTCCTGCTGTCGGTGACTTTGATGAAAAATCAGGGATGCTGGGAAAAGAGTGAATAGGGACACCCTAGCTACCTTGTTTAACTGTGAAATCTTTCAAATGTACCACCTCAGATTCCAGTGTTGATCAAAACTGTAGAACTACATTCATAAAACAACGACAGTGTCAGGAAAGTGACAAGTCTATGTATCACATGTGGTGGTGACTCACACTACCAGACCCCCCCTTCACACATCCACAGAACCGTGTGATTCTATGCTGTGATTGGCATTGCCTCTGAAGGTATCTCATAGCCAGTAAGTGACAAACCCATGTCCTGAGCTCAGGACATCTTGAGCTCTCAAGGTAATAAATGATCATTCTATGTCCCCACCCAGACCCTCCTGCCTCTATCACATTCTAGTCAACATGGATGCCACTTCTCGGAACAAAGAGAAGCTAAAGGAGAAGAAAGAAGAAACCACGTGCGGCCAACTTGTACCACTACCTGTGTGAGTCCTCTGGTGGGCCTTTAAGTGGGAGCTTTTTGTATAAACTTTCCGGCACCCGTTAAACTGACAGCGGTGAACCCTCTTCTTGTTTTCGGGGCATGCCTCAGCCCCCGCCCCTCCTTGTTCACTGTCGCTCTGTCCGCTCTTAACTGTCCCAGCTGCCGCCACGGCTGCTGCTGCTGTTGCCACCCCTCCCACCTTTACTGAGCTGAGTGCAGCCTTCTTGGCTACCAGTTTCAACGTCACCGTGCCATCCACGGCTGAGAGAGTCTGTGAGGTTTTGACCAGATGGCGGCTAAGCTCAGGGGATGATGGAGGCGTTAATGAGGTCACTGCGTTGAGCTGGGCCTGGTTGACGGCTGTGTAGCTGTCTAGAGAAGAGCTGGTTGGCTGGAGGCTGAGGCAGGTCTCAGATAGCAACTTGTCCCGAGAGAGCAAAATGTCCACTGTGGAGCTCTTCTCACAGATGGTCGCTTCCACAGGCAGCAGCAGGGGGTCTAAGCGCCGGAAGCTTTCTTCAATGCACGGGGGAGGAGAAGCGTGGAGGAAACAGTCCAAGTCCTCACCAAAGGTCTCTGAGATCCTCCTGGGCTCCGTCTGTAGGTAGCGTTCCAATTCAAGGCATGTCTGCAGAGGGGGGAGGAGGGAGGGAGAGAAACAACTATCAGAGGCAAAGCACACTATGAGGCCACATGGCGATAAGAAGAAGAGGAAGACACACCAACAATAGTTTCAAGGCTGATACCTGAAAAATCTCTTGTTGAGAAAGTCTGACCTTGTTGTTTACTCTCAGAATACTTCTGGAGAGCTGATAAAGGTTACGTCATATGACTTCATGGTAAAGTAGAGGCCAATGAAAATAAGGGAAACCCTCACTGAGATGGACTGACACAGAGCCACAACAACAAACTCAAACATACCAACAATCATGAAGATGGTGCAGGTCTAGGCAACATTTTGTTCTGTTATACGTAAGGTCACCATGCGTCAGAACCAACTCGACAGCAACTAACAACAACGACATACGATTTCAAGTACTATAATTGAAGGAGACCAGAGGCCCAGAAAAAGTATCTCACACCATCAAGATCCCAGAGAATATTAAATGACGAAGTGATGATCTCCTGCTCTACAATTCAATTCAGTGGGTAAGAATCTCCTAGCATCTCTAAGCAGACAAGGTTTTCATACCAAGATAAGACTTCCCATAGTCCAACCTCATTTGTCAAAATAGACCTGAGAAAGTCACAAAAATAACCCGATTTCCCAATTTGCTCTGAAGGACAAACCACACCCACCCAAAGTAAGAGGTGACCTCAGCCACAATTAGCCAGCAGCAATCCCTGCCTGGAACACAGTTTCCTTAACCAGCAGGAATGGATATTGTTCTAAAGAATGCCTCTTACAAAGTATTTTATGCGTAAGACGTAACCCGTTGACTGCAGCAAGTTATTAATATTAAAAATACAATTGCTACATATTATGTGGCAAAGGGTATGAATCCCATTACAATGGTTTAGGCCTCTAACCACATGATAATAAGTTCAAACACAGTCACTGGACCTGTTAAACATGGACCCCAATATCTCTCAATATAAAGTGTTCACCTTGTAGAGAAATAGAAAAGAACCCAACAGTTTTAATACATCTTTATCCATGGTGTTCAGAAGTCTCTGCAAGATGGAGGGAGTGCTTTTGTAACAAAAGTAGACATTTAAGAATTTTTTTATTCTAAAAGCTCTCCTAACTGAAAAATCCTACTATTCATAATCATGTATAAAACTATGGTGCTAACTTACACCATCATCAGTTCAATTTGCTCTATATTCTGGGCTTCAACAAAGAAACACTGATGGCAAATTTAAAATCTGACTAGCTCCTAATTTACTGCCTCCATAAAGCTTCTATGTTTTCAACCAGTGTTCTGATTCTAGGCTTTTATTCTGTTAAGAATATATTTTAATGATATACCTAGTCGGGTTGTATCTGTCAAGGGTTTTATGTTGGTGACATTTCAAAAGACTGGTTTTTAAGCAGCCTTCTGGTAAACTCTGCACTAGTGAATAAGAAAAACAGATTTTAACTATGAATCAGCTTTGGTCCTCACTGTTGATTTTTAATAGTATGAAGTAACGAATGGGTCGAATCTTCATTCAACACTCACGTCACAAGTGTTCATTCAACTGCAGTGTTCACAGCAAGGTGCAAGGCTTCATGTGTTAGAAGAAGATACAGTAATAGATCCATGTAATGTAGTGGGGGAATGAACAATCACAAGCTAAAAATGATATGGATTTGTGAGACAACATGATACAAAATAAACATAAAATAAAGCGTGTTATTAAGTTCTTAGGGAATGAGCAGAAAATGAATTTTACCCTCTATAATACATGGCATTAATCAATGAAAGTTTATTGGAAAAAAGTAAGTTTTGATTCTGTTCTACTTATTGACTAAATAATAGCTCTGGCTCAGTAGCTTCCTACCACTTTATATTAGAAACCAATACTACCACCTTCTCAGTTTCTAGAAATTTGTATTCTCCTCACCTTTTTTATGAATTCCACACCTCAAAATTGTTCCCTTCCCTTTTCCATCTCATTGCTAGAAATTACCATGTACTTCTCTCCATACTGAGACCTTCAGTATTAGCACCAGTCAGTTCACCTCTAACTATAAGATTCTATTCCAGTCCACTGAATCAAGGAGGAACACCTGAGACTATTACCATGAGATATTCTTTAAGCCATGAGCCAAAACTATCCCTTCAAGTCAGCTTTCAGCTAAATAGCAGGTTAGCCCATAAAGTAATGAATATCACCCTTCAGTACCATGCTCTTTTAAAAAACATCTATATAAGACCAAATGGTCAACAAATACTCTAAAGCATAGATGAGAAGGTTGGGAGGCTGTGAGACTAGGTTAATGAGAATGGAACAACTAGAATGGAAATAATGATACAATGTGAACAATGTAACCAGTATCATTGAACAATATGTGTAGAAATTGTTGAATGGGAATCTATTTTTCTGTGTACAGTTCCATCAAAAATACAACAAAATATTAAAACAAAACAAAACAAAAAATTCTACTCCTGAAACCTCCTTCTAATTTCCCCCTTTTCTTTTTAAACCATCACCTACCAAGCACAATGCCTACCCCCCCCATCAAGTACATAATGTTTGTCAAACAAAAATAAAATCAACTTTATACTATATTACTTTCATCATTCCATACTCTTCAAAAGCCATCTGCTGACACCCTATTCTGGACCCTGCTGAGGCTGGCAACTTTAGAAATGACCACCAATTGTAAGGTTTCTCAAGATTTGCCCAAAGAGCAGAGCTAGATCTTTGAGAAGCAGATATAGTCCAGTTAAAAATCAGCTGAATCACAGTTACAAGATATCCTTGAGATAGTTGCCTGCTTCACATACAAGGGTTACTTCTCACACCCAGGCACCACTGACTGAGGATAGAGTTTTAGTGTGTCATGCCTTCTTACATACTTTCCAGATCAAAGATTTGAAAGTCACTAAGAAATTGGTAGAAGGGGGGATGTCATTGTTGATATCAGATGGATCATGGATGAAAGAAGAGAACACCAGAAAGATGTTTACCTGTTTTGTCTATACTGACTACGCAAAGGCATTCGACTGTGTGGATCATAACAAATTATGGATAACGTTGTGAAGAATGGGAATCCCAGAACACTTAATTGTGCTCATGCAGAACCTGTACATAGACCAAAAGGCAATCATTCCAACAGAACAAGGGGATACTATGCGGTTTAAAGCCAGGAAAGGTGTTTGTCAGGGTTGTATCTTTTCACCATACTTATTCAATCTGTATGCTGAGCAAATAATCCAAGAAGCTGGATTATATGAAGAAGAAAGTGGCATCCGGATTGGAGAAAGACTCATTAACAACCTGCAATATGCAGACGACACAACCTTGCTTGCAGAAAGCAAAGAGGACTTGAAGCACTTACTGATAATCAAAGACTACAACCTTCAGTATGGATTGCATCTCAGCACAAAGAAAACAAAAATTCTCACAACTGAACCAACAAGCACCATCCTGATAAATGGAGAAAATACTGAAGTTGTCAAGGATTTCATTTTGCTTGGATCCACAATCAACGCCCATCGAAGCGGTAGTCAAGAAATCAAATGACATATTGCATTGGGTAAATCTGCTGCAAAAGACCTCTTTAAAGTGTTGAAAAGCAAAGGTGTCACTCTGAGGACTAAGGTGCATCTGACTCAAGCCATGGTATTTTCAATCACCTCATATGCATGCGAAAGCTGGACAATGAATAAGAAAGACCGAAGAAGAACCGATGCCTTTGAATTATGGTTTTGGCAAAGAATATTGTATACCATAGACTGCCAGAAGAACAAACAAATCTGTCTTGGAAGAAGAACAGCCAAAATGCTCCTTGGAAGCAAGGATGGTGAGACTTCATCTCACGAACTTTGGACATGTTATCAGGAGAGATCAGTCCCTGGAGAAGGACTTCATGCTTGGTAAAGCAGAGGGTCAGCAAAAAAGAGAAAGACCCTAAACAAGATGGACTGACACAGTGGCTGCAACAATAGGCTCAAGCATAACAACAACTGTGATGATGGCACAGGACTGGGCAGCCTTCCACTCTGTTGTACACAGGGTCGTTATGAGTCAGAACCAACTCGACGGCACCTAACAACAACAACAAGAAATTGGTTGACTGTCAAGAGGCTCAAATCTTTTCATATTTAGAGTTCTAAGGAGCTGAGATGCTCTAGACACATGTACACACTCTTCTGGAAGGACTGAAAAAAAACTAACCTACCCAGTATGCCTTGCTTTGAATCCTAGGAGAACATAAGATTTTAATATCAGATTATTTCTAACCCAAAGAGAAAGCTTATCTCCAGTGTTTAAAAAAAAAAGAAAGATTACAAGAACTACCTTAAGAAATGCCCACAATGTTTAATTGGAATTTGAGGTATTAGTATTTATTCATGGATTTTAATACACAGAGACAGAGAGATAAAAATAATTGTTTGTGTACATCTGTGAGTATAGATACATATATCTTCTAGCTCTGTCCACTAAGAGGACTTACAAGCAAAGACACTGCAATAGCAATGAGCACACCTAGCACACAGATCTTGGTTTCTACATACCATTATCCAATAAAGGGACCAAGGCTCTTAAGAGAAATAGTTGATTCCAGGGCTGAGGAAAAGAAAAGAAAATATAAGCTTGAAATAGCTTGTGGTGCTGAAAGACAAGGAAGTGCTCAAAAAGTGATGAAGCTATGTTGAAAAGTCTCACTTCACAGAGCTCTCAGTGGCCACATCTGAGCAATCTGAGCCACAAAAGATAAATTCTAACCCACAGAATAAAAGAAATATCTATGGATCCATATTGACATGATTAAATAATTGAATACATAAAGAAATGGAGAAGGGTCAGCTTCCTTACAGTAAAATTACAATTAATAAATACAGAAGAAATGATGGAAATAGAAAATCTCCATTAGGCAAACAACAAAGTAATATTGAGTACAGGCAAGAATCACCAATGGAAGCTAAAATTAGTAGATGACAGTATGATGAGACACAAGATATTTGCATAGTC